CGCATTCGTAAGATTTCGGTACTCTTCGTCCCCCCTCCGCAACCACGAACATCGACTCAACGTGACCAGATGATTTATTCCGTCGCCTCCTCTAGCCTCCTCTCTCACATATCTCCTTACTGAAACCCCAGGTTAATGTTTTTCATAATATCAATTCAGTGAAATATTAATTAGTGTTGTGATAAAACGGTTAAGAAATAAAATAAGTGCCCTTTATTTTCGCTTCATGAGGTGTATAACGCTGTAGATATACATTGGCCTGTCAAACGTTCCACATACGTTTGCCGCGCATTCCGCTTTTAATATGGGAGAGAGGATATGGAGGAGAGGTTAAAATAAAATTAATAGGATGATATGCTGAATGACAATGTTTACTCATTTTTAACTATTGAATGAAATTTATCATGTAATAGAAAACAGTCAGGGATCAAGCTTTTATTGTGCGTTACCGGAATTTTTACTATGCAGCACCGGAATTTTTCTGGTGCTAGACAATTGAACCCGCTTTACCAGACGGCACGGTAATTTTTGCCTGAATTTCGCCTGAAAAATTCTGGAATTTTTTTCTCCGTGTAGAGTCACAAAGGTCACGAGGATCAAAAATGATGGTAAGGGTCACAGGGGTCAAAAAGGTTTATAAGGCTTCATAAGGGTCACAAGGGTCAAAAAGGTTTAAAAGGGTCACTACCACTGATATCAGTTATCCAACACTTGTTAAAATTCAATGCGGTAATGCGAGCTTATATATGACTATTTATCGATGTGATAAGGACGGGGTATTTCCGATCCTTATTTGAACTCAAGGAGATAGCGGGGAGCGAGCGAAGTGAGTGGGAGGGGGGCGACGCCCCCCTCGGGGTTGACGAGCGAAGCGAGCAGAGGGCGAAGCCCCCTATGTTTTGAGATAACAATCTAGCGATTCTATCGTCAGTTAAGGATTTCCAAGTAATTTGGCTATTTTTTCGACAGAAATGCTTTTCTACTTTTGTAGTCAAACATCAGAGCTTTCATTTGACCTCAAGTTTTCGGACATCCTACGATGATTTTATTATTTAAACTTTGCAGGTCGGAATTTGAATCTCGATAGTAAAGCGCTAGAAAACATTTTCAAAACTAATTTATAAACAATTAATTTTTCTCCATAAAAAAATTAGGTTTACGGATATTAAAACAATTTTAATTATTCATTTATTAACAACGAATGTTTAAAAAATTAATAATTTTGTGCAAAATGTGATTCAAATGACGCTGAATATTCACGTTTTTTTTTAATTGTTCCCACGCAATTTAATTGACAAATGTCTATAAATTTTCTATAAATAATTTATAAACAATCAATTTTGTGGCATAAAAATCATTTTGTCGGAAGCGTTTCTCCCAAAAAAAGAAAAAAAAATCAATAGAAAATATTCTATAGAAAAAGTCAATAGAATTCGATGTTTCTATACAACTTATCCTATTGAGATATTTTTAATAGAATTTCCTCGGCTCAAATTTTCCAAATTTTTTTATTTGTTTTTCTCGATTAGAAGGAAAGAAGAACAGAATCAAGAGAACTTGGCAAATTTGAGACGAGGAAATTCTATAGAAAACGTCTCAATGGAATAAGTTGTGTAGAAAATCGAATTCGATTGAACATTTCAATTAAAATTTTTATCGATCAGTTCATTAGAAATCCAATGAAATTGTCTACCAAATTCGCTACCCTTTTCTATTAAATTTGATCGTTGTTGCGGTGTAGGAAGATACGTACAAGTTGATCTCAATGAGTCGGGGAAGATATTCAGAAACCGCTGGATGAATGCCAATAAGATGTTTACCGGATTTTCGGTGAGTTTAATGCACGTGATAAATCACCCCAGCAACGTTTTATAATCCTTTATTCCCATCACAATGCTCGGGGAATCTCCTGACGAAATGTAAAATGACCACAACAATGACTATTATCATATATTATGCCCGTCAAAAGTATCAGGAACTGACTTCAAGAATTTTTTTGGACACGGAGAGAAATATTCAGTGGAAATTACGTATATATTTTCCGTAATTCCGAAGCGAAATGTGGTTGTAGGAAATTTAACGGAACTGTCACGGAATTTTTCCAGAGCGTTTCGTAATTTTTATCTGGATCTCCTGTGAAAAATTACGATACCGTCACTTAAATTTTCTGAGTCAATTCCGTAATCGGTGAGCGAATTGTGAATTCCGTAATTTTTACTGAACATTTCTCTCGGTGAAGGGTATAGTAAGGGATCGCGGATAAAAAAAATTAATAGAAAAACCTAGCGAATTCGCTAGACAATTTTATTGGATTTCTATTGAACTTTCTATTAGTTTTTGGCCAATTCTATTAAAATATTTAATAGAAAATACTCTGAAAAAAAAATTGAAAGAATTCAATTTTTCTATGCAACTTATTATTATTATTATTATTATTATTATTATTATTATTATTACTATTATTATTTATTCGAGAAAGACAGCATAGCTGATACAGATCTCATACAAGTTGAGTAACGTAAAAATAAGGTGTTGCGTACAATAGTAGACATAAACTCTCAAAGAGAATAACAGATGCGATGTACATATATCCTAAATTATTTAAATTTTCTGCGGTCCCCTGACAGATCCCCCTGGAATGACCCTCACTAGGCTCCCAATTTTGGCATCAGGGCAACCCCAGCAGTCTGCTGGAACAATAATAAAAGCAACGGAGAAAACAACTCAGTTTCGTCCTAAATTCATCCAACTACTATTCTACTGAGATATTTTCTGTAGAATTTCCTCGGCTCAAATTTTCCAAGTATTTTTGTGTGATTTTCTTGATGAGAAGAAAGGAAAAATAGAATGAAAAAAAATAGAAAATTTGAGCCGAGGAAATTCTATAGAAAATATCTGAAGAGAATCAGTTGTATAGAACAATCAAATTCTATTGACTTTTTCTATTGAATATTTTCTATTGATCATTTCAATATAGAATCGGCCGAAAACTAATAGAAAGTTCAATCGAAATCTAGTAGAATTTTTTAACGAATTCGCTAGGTTTTTTGTTAATTTTTTTTTGTGCGTGAGTAGGTGTGATAAGTAAATGTAAGATTTAAAGGTAACAATTTATTTGCATTTAAATGACGTATTGTGAACAGGGTGTGATCCTAGAATTTAGAGTGGCTATCGTTGTGTTTCGGTCGAGACAAGAACCGATTGGTTTGAGAGACGTTAGGCTATTTAAATTCAACGTGACACTACATTTCCAATGGACAGGGATGCGGTAGAATAGAACAATAACAAATCTGGAAGACCGCGAAACGATAATCGCGTAGAGATGTTAAGAGACCCCATTTCTCTCGCCTCAAACTCTTCGGAGCCCGTAAAAAAACCACTGGAGAACGGCTGGGGGACATGACATTGGTCATTCGCGAACACAAAACTGTGAGAAGGATTTAAAAAAAGAATTCCTGTCATAAAACGGGTTGTAAAAGAGTAATAGGAGAGAGAGAAATTGCTTGAAGGGTCTTCAAAGGTTTGATGAATATTTTTGAGTTCCTGCGGGACTCGTATTTCGGTAATATTAAAAATGTTATGAATTTATTGCACTTTTTTTTTACTCATTCTCAACAATTTGAAATATCTGTTCATTTTTTATATCTGACAGTTAATTTAATGTATTTTTTTTTGTTTAATGGAAAAAATTTTCTTGAAAATGAAACAACGATTTTTTTTCAATTCTGAAATTGCACGTCACCCTTGGCATTATCAAGATATCATCTCTTATGGAGGAGTCTGAAAACGTAATGTTTTATTTTTTTACTAATTCGTAATGTGAAATTCGAAATTAATTTCGCAATTAATTCGTTGGAGCTTTCAATCTGCTCTACAAAAAACGTTATAACAAAAATTTTGCTATCTCCCTTAGATGCCGACATATTCATTGAACCACTTCGCTTTTGTTTTACACTGAGGGAAATTTCAATGGTAATTTCAACTACAAGGGAATTGTCAAAAGAATAATAGTTACGGTAACAATAAACATTGTAGATTCAACTGTTACATTAAAGTGAAAATTACATCATAATGTGGATGACACTATTTGACATAGTAAACCGAACGATGAATCCTAGTTTAATCTACAAAGTTTATTGTTACGGTAAATATAATTTCTTTGACAATTCCCTTGTCGTTAAAATTACCATTGAAATTTCTCTCAGTGTACCACTTCATTTTACCACCAATCGTTTTACCATTTGTTTTACCACTTGACTACTGAATTTTTCCTCTGAATGTCAAAACAAGAGCAACTCCATCCATTCTGCCCCACCTCCCCGCATCGCCAACAAGAAACAGGCGTTTTCATCGTGATTGTTCACACCTACCGCTCACCAGTAAAAAAATAAAACATTACGTTTTCAGACTCCTCCATAAGAGATGATATCTTCATAATGCCAAGGGTGACGTGCAATTTCAGAATTGAAAAAAAATCGTTTCATTTTCAGGCAAATTTTCCAATAAACAAAAAAAAATTAATTCGTAATGTGAAATTCAAAATTAATTTCGTAATGTAATCTCCCTTGAATTCGGAAATATTCCTCAAAAACTCAACTGGGAGATAAGTCGACTTAAACGGTTTTACCACTTCGTTACTGTATCTAACAACAACATCTAAAAATCTTCCCTAAAATAAAATTCATTAACTAAATTTCAATTATTTCTGCATGAAAAACAGAAGAGGATGACCAAAAATTAAAATTAAATTGATTCAATTGAATTAAAATTCTTGTCCAGAGTGATAGAAATATAGTTCACATTTTTCCTCTTGTTCAAGTATTTTGTTAACCAGTTATGTTTTTCCGACATTCGAATTTTTAAACGTGCCTAAAGTCCAGTTTCTATTAAACTCCCTTTGAAAATGCCTCCTTATTTCGGTTGCATGCGCACGCAGCTTGACTCAGCTGACAAATCTGTCGCTGACGTCCATCTTTTATTATCAGTCAAAAGAACAAAAACACCAACTCTAACCTAGTATCGTTCATAGTGGTCAAAATAATCGGAGATAATATTTCAACAATGAGCGATGTCTTGTCAAATGAACAGGATTGCATATTTGACTGATCCAGAAGGAGTCAGGGCTAAATTACTGCAGGATGCCATCACAAAATGTGAGAATTCAATATTATATATCTTCGAAATATTTGATATCACATATACTCAGACAATACAATCTGTTTATTGACCCATATTATCACTTATAATTAACAAATATTGACAATACGCCCCAATGAAAAAGAATGAAAATAATTCATATCAACAATTGAGGGTAAACAAAAAAATGAAAAGATGAACGGAAAAAGAAAAAAAATACTAGAAAAAAGTCAATTTTCATTTTCATTTTTATACTAAAAGTTGCGTACATAAATTTTTAAAATTTTGTTCCATGAGATTTTTAAAATTCTTTATTACGAAATCCGAGAGAAAAAACTTGTGGCCAAGAATTTTTATGAAGAAATTTTTTTTTTAAATCAAGTGAAAGAGAAAAATCAACATCTGTTGACTATCCTCTTCTAAATATCTGTCAACAAATTTCAGAAATTGGGAGAAAACAAATATAATTTTTAATAGAATTCTTCCAGAGTTCCAATAAGATAATATTTTTCTATGGAAAATTATTATTTTATTACCCATACACAGGCATCTCCACATTTTTCATCTTCTGCCTCTCATCTGAAGTTAATATTTGTTTTGTTTCCATTTTCTAATTAAATGACATATTTTTGATCGTATTTTTCTCTCGTTTCTTGTTAATCAAATAAACGCTTTATCTATACCTATATGGGACGTATATCCTATATTGGATACACTGAGAAATTTTTTTTTCCAAATATTCATTTACTTGAGAGGAGCATTTATTTTTTCAAAATCGTATTTTTCGAATCGATTCATTCCCACGCGAGCCTGATTAGATTTCAATTATAACAATCATGTTGCTCTAGAGGATGACTGTCTTGCACATGACCTTGGATGAACTCCTTTAATGATTATTAATTTTTCCTAAATTTCATATTTTCTAGCGAGAAGAATTTCGATCAATTTTTTAATGTTGATAATTATTGAGGGAGTTCACTCAATGCCACAACTAACATGATCATCTTCCAGAGCAATATAATTGTCATAATTGAAACCTAATGAGAATTGCCTGAGAATGACTCGACTGGAAAAATACGATATTGAAGAAATAAGTATTTCCCTCAAGTAAATGGATATTTGGCAAAAATATATTTTTTCTCGGTGTAGGTCGTTGCGGTTAGGCATCTCTTCATACATAATTGGTTTAGATATTAACGATACAGAACATTAATCGAGTCACGAGCCCGATGAAGTGAAAATAATTAGCGAAACATCGCAAAATGACAATTAGATAATTGTTGTTCTCATTTTCTCCCACATCCCTTGAATTTTTTGGATATTTAACAACAACGGAGATGAACCAGACCATAAAAAGTTAAGTTGAACTCATTCCTTCCTTCAATTTCCGCCCTTCAACCACTGCATCAATATCCGGCAACTGTACAACTGCACCTTTTACAAACCCCACCAAATACGAGTCAACCTGTACAACTGCACCTTTTACATCTCCACCAAGCGACACCCTCACCCAAACGATTTTAATATTGACAACTCTACCGCGCGAAAATAACTACTCAATGATTCGAGAAATTTACATCCCCACCGTGGTACAAGCCAATCAGCGGACGAGTTGACCCGATGATGACTCACCCTGTACAACTGCACCGTGCGACAAGCCTACTCACAAATTTTTGATTTGTAACATCCCCACCGAAAATACATCCCTACCGATTATTTCCCGAATTTTTTTTCCCCACTCCATTTTTTGTTGAATTTTCGATCAGGGTGTATTGGATTGATGGGAACGAAGGAATATATTTTGGAGCGAATTTTTGGTTCATTCTATTGAAAAATGGCGCAGCTTTTCTGCAGTTTTTATGAATTCAAATATTCAATAGAAATTATTTTAAAGAAAAAATCAACAGAATTTAATTTTTCTATAGAATTTATCCTGTTGAAATATTTTTTATAAAAACTCTTCGTCTCGAATTTCTCAAGTTTGTTTGTTGAAGTTTCCTAACGGAAGAATAAAAATAGGGAAGAAAAAACTTGGAAAATTCATGTGAAAGAATTATAGCGTTTTTCATTGCGTGTTTATTCTCTGGATAACAATGGCAAGTATCTTTCGAACGGTTCTTTTTCTAGTAAAATTTTAACATATTTCCTGAGAATAGAACAAACAATCGGTAAAATAATTTAACTCTAACAGGCA